TTGTATGTTCTATGAACACTTAATATTATCAACTTAATATTAAGTACAACTTAAAGTAAAATGGATACCGCGCTTATTGTTATGTCGTGACAAAGCTTATTTCAGTAAATAAATGCTCTGAATAATTCTACATTTTATAGATGTCTAACATCTTATCTGCAATGTCTGCACCCAAATAAACTCAAGAGAGCTTTGGTAACAACGCCAGTCAGGAAATAGCCAGGGACCAAGTCATAAATATGTATTATGCAAACACACTAGGAAATTAAACATTACAATATTAAATTTATTGAAGGATATAGAATAAAAGGAAGAATGTCACTAAGATAATAAATGAATAGGACAGAAGTTATAGCATCACTTTTTGACCTGCACTTATTTTATTACATTCATTTGTCTCTGGTTTTCAGAAGTTCAATAACTATAAAATGTGCAGACTTAGCCGTCTGCAGTGAAGTACACTCGTAGGAGATGACATCCAGCAAACAGATGGGTTGATTTATTGAAGGTAAATAAATAAACTGTGTACTTTGCAAGTGCAGTTTACAATCATTTTTTCCTGTCATGTGCAGCAAGCAAAAATTCATTTTTTTTTAAATTTTTTTTTTCCTTGCACCTGATTGGATGTTTCTTTATAATGCGAAACCAAATTCAGAAAGCTCTAGGGAAAATTTGCAACTGTGCTTCCAAAGTGCACAGTCTATTTGCGTGTACGGTAATTCATCCACACATCTGTGTGTTTTTATTGTGTCTGTTATGTACTGGGGAATTAACCGCACTCCCGTCTGCCCTATAGCAGAAATACTGCTACAGGGATGGGCATGGGTGTGCAAAATCACAGATATATACAAGTGATTTTGCATTTCCGGGTAGGGTCGCGCAAGAGGCGGAGGCGCGCGCAAGAGGCATTTGTGTGCCCTACCTGCACCGCCGTTCACAGCTGTCAATCACCAGGTCCTGGCCAATGATTACTCACCAGCGCCCAGTGATTACCGAGCATCTCTGACGGAGGGGCGTTGGAGAACTGTTTGTAAACAAAACAGCTCTCCCCTGTCAGCTCGTGCACACTGGGGGATGTCAGTAACACCAAGTCAGTTCACCCCCCCCCGAGTGTTAGGAAATGCCCGCCGTTAGTTCGGGAAGCGCTAATTAGAGTTGCTGATTGCTGCCATTACTAGTAAAAGTTTAAAAAAAAATTAAAAATCCCAGTATATTTACTGCCATTTGTAAATGCTATAACTTTCATGTAGACCAATTACTTTACATGTAATTGGGATTTGTTTTAGCAAAGATGAAGCAGAATACATTTTGGCCTAAATTTATGATGAAAATTTGATTTTTTTAATTTTTTTTACTGGACATGTTTTAACAGCAAAAAGAAAATACAGTTTTTTTTCTCCAAATTGTCAGGTCTTTCTTTTTTTTATACTGCAAAAAATAAACACACAAGCAATCAAATACCACTAAAGAAAGCTCAATTTGTGGGTAAAAAAAAGGATGTGTAAATTTAATTTGGGCGCAGTGTTGCATGATCCGCGCAATTGTCAGTTAAAAGTAATGCAACGCCGTGACACAAAAAATGGCGCTGATCAGGAAAGGGGTGTAAATCCTCAGGAGGGCAAGTGGTTAAACTAAACCTCCTGCGCCATTATATTTAGAAGTGGCATGCCAAACCCACATTCAAAAGAGCAAACACACACATTAACATATACCCGCTTCAGGTCTATTTGTGCCAGAGTGCAACAGAAAATTATTGCAGGTCTGCAACCAATTAACAGAGGGAATATGACCGTTATCCATATAGAAAACTGCTGCAGATATCCAGCTAGGTCTTGTTGTGGGAGATGTGAGCAATCAGCAGACAGCTCATATACCTCTCTCTTCCCATGCAGTCATTACACAGGACAAGCAGAGACTGCACGGGGTTAACAACCCTCCTTATCCCTCCGCTAGGATCTGAGTGGAGATGGCTGTGAGATCACCTCTCCATTTTCTATCCTGTGTGCTGTGCATGTCACAGCCACAGAACAGAGAACGGATCACTCCTAATTAACAAAGCGGCTTGCATCACTTTTGTTATTTAGGAGCAACATGTGCTCCAGGTTCAAAATTTAGAAGAGTTGTGCAAGCTTGTGATTTCCACTTGTAGGTTTGCGTGGGGTAGTAGGAGGGTGACACTTCTTCTATGTTCCCCTCCTTGTTGGGCGCCAAGTATGGGTCACATAGGAGGCTGACCCCAGGGTGGGTTCTTCTAGGCTACACCAGCACCTTGAGCAGGGTCCCTGCCTCACATATGGGGTTTGCTTGGTCTTGTTCATCGTGTACACCTGAACTTCTAGCAGGGACACGCTGAGCTTATGTCCACTTCACCTGTCCAACGTATCTCCACTACCTCGCTCCCAGTAACAGAATGGAATCTCGCTGTGCACCTAGCGCTCCATGTGTGCACTTCTGTAACTGTTCCTCTGCCATACACAGGCTGGGAACCTCTGAGCTCTGATCCGCTTCTGTTGCTATGGGAGATGGACCACCAGGGGAGATATGTCAACACTCCCTCGCTACAAAAGGATGTCCCACCTGTCACAGGAACATGCTTAATGACAGGCTTCTTGAATAACTGATGGTTTCCGTTACACTTGGTAACCACTTGCTGTCTTCATACCCCAATGTGTTACTGACTCAGGTTATAGACCAGGGGTGTCAAACTGGCAGCCTTCCAGATGTTGCGAAACTACAAGTCCCATCATGCCTATGGCTTTGGGAGTCATGCTTGTAACTGTCAATCTTGTAATGCCTCATGGGACTTGTAGTTTGGCAACAGCTGGAGGGCCGCCAGTTTGACACTCGTGTTATAGACTACTTACATACACTCATTTAGTGACTTTAGACCAAGCTAAAGGCAAGGTTTAAAGGCTTTAATTAAAAATTCATACAAAACATAACAGAATTCCAAGTGCAATACAGCTCTTTCTCTATGTCCCTATTCCCTATCTCAGGTTTGTGTGCTGCCCTAGCGTACCTGCATAGGTAGAGTCTACTCATGGCACAGTCCATGGTTGGCAGAATCCAGAAGATGGTATCTTCAGAGCGGACTAGCAGCCCCCCTACATCCTGGATGACTTTGGAAGGCTGGTAACCTCGGACTGCAGCATTGTTGGTGACATGCAGCTCACAGGCCAGGAACTCCGAAATCCAGAAATCTCACAGCATAGGACTTAGATACCCCATCGACTACTGCTCTATAGGCACAGGACCAGTGGGTTGGACCCAAGAAAACCTACCAAAGAAAACCAGGGAAATAACATTAACACTAACCCTCACGTTCGGAGAAGCACCTATCCAGGCTATGATAAGCAACCTGCTTACATGCTCATTATGTTTATAAAGTGAGTAGGATGGCTGGAATTGCAGCTGCGTTTCTACCCACTGGCTGGATGTCACAGTGGTATCCATTCAGAGTATTACATAAAATGCAAACCTAAACTAATGCATGCTGGAGCTGGGAGGGTGTGGTTTTGCATAGAGCAGCCCTGATTCTCTTCTTGGGTCCTCTGCTGGCGCCCCTGATCCCTCTCCCTCCTGCTGAATGCCCTCAGAGCAAGCCACTTGCTCTGGGGGCATTTGTGCGTGCTCGCTCCCAAGCTCTGCTCTGTGTGTTTTTAACCACTTGCCCTCCTGAGGATTTACCCTCCTTCCTGACCAGACCATTTTTTTTTGCGTTACGGCGCTGCGTTACTTTAACTGACAATTGCGCGGTCATGCAATGCTGTGTCTCTGCCAATGAGGAAAGCGAGACCCAGGAGAGCTGAGACTTCTGTGCACATCAGTGGAGTGAGATCAGACTCAGGTAAGTATTAGGGGGGCTGTGGGGGGAGCTACACACAAGGTTTTTTACTTTCATGCATAGAATGCATGAAGGTTGGTTAAAAACCTTCAGCATGTACATCCACTTTAATCAGTATCTAAAGCAAATCTGTCACTGTACCAAAGTTCTTGAAATACATTGTTGCTGTATGTCTCCTGTCATATTGTAAAGTGCTGAGTAAACTGTTGGCGCTATATAAATCCTGTATAATAATAATAATAATAATATAAAATAATGTGTAACTGTAAAAGAATAAAGCAGATACTGCACTGTCTGCCTTCACCATTGAATACAGCTATGTTGTGGAATCATTTTTTTGGCTTGCTTTTTGACTGGTGTTCTGCTTTAGGCTGCTATGTGTTTTTTTTAGTTCAACAAACACTAGAATGTGTTCTAGTTCCAGATGCAAAGACACATAGATACAGAGACTCTTCCAAATTTAAATGGTGTGATGTAGCAGGATAACTCTAGAATAATGTCCTGCGTCTATTTACAACTTCTTTGTCACATGGCACAAGACTGAGTCATGTCTTTTCTTCAAATGTGTACCTTGTTCACAATGACAGGAAAAAGTTATCTAATCTCAAGGGGATGCATGACACCAACATATGGACAGCAACATCACAACATTATGTGACGTGATGACGCAAACACTTTAAACATCAAACACATGGTAGGAGTCACTGACTGAACTTCCATCTAACTCTGATAACATTGTACCACACTGAATTGGACATCTGCAACTATTAGCAAATTATGGGACAGCCTAGGCTCCCGTGCACATTGCTGGATCGAGAGAGGGCTCAGGTGAGAATTAGGGGGGCTGGGGTGAAAGCAGCACACAGAAGGCTGAAGATTATAAACCTTCAGCCTTTACAACCACTTTAAGTCTAAATCATTGTATTACTAAAGCAAGACTAACCTAGCAATAAACAGAACTAGTAATGAATAGTATTAACAGTAATGAAAAATCCCGTAGTAGTTCCACTGCAGTCAATAGTCAGTAAATGTCTCAGAGTGTGCTCTGTATAGACACTATATTGCCAAAAGTATTGAGGCACCCCTCCAAATCATTGGATTCAGGGCGTTCCAATCACCTCCATGGCCATAGGTGTATAAAAGCAAACACCTAGGCATGCAGACTTCTTCTACAAACATTTGTGAAAGAATAAGTCGCACTCAGGAGCTTAGTGAATTCAAGCGTGGTTCTATGATAGGTTGCCACCTGTGCAATAAGTCTATCCGTGAAATTTCCTTGCTACTAAATATTCCACGGTTAACTGTTAGTGGTATTATAACAAAGAGGAAACAACTGGGAACAACAGCAACTCAGCCACGAAGTGGTAGGCCACATGAAATGACAGAGCAAGGTCAGCGCATGCTGAAGTCACCAACTGTCTGCAGAGTCAATAGCTAAAGACTTCTAAACTTCATGTGGCCTTCAGATTAGCACAACAACCCGCGCTCAGAGAGCTTCATGGAATGGGTTTCCATGGCTGAGCAGCTGCATCCAAGCCTTATATCACCCAGTGCAATTCAAAGCGTCAGAAGCAATGGTGTAAACCTCACCATTGGATTTTAGAGCAGTGGAGATGTGTTCTCTGGAGTGATGAATCATGTTCCTCTGTCTGGCAATCCGATGGACATATCTGGGTTTGGCGGTTGCCAGGAGAACGGTACTTGCCTGACTGCATTGTGCCAAGTGTAAAGTTTGGTGGAGGGGGTACTATGGTGTGGGTTGTTTTTCAGGGGTTGGGCTTGGCCCCTTAGTTCCAGTGAAGGGAACTCTTAAAGATGTCAGCATACCAAGACATTTTGGACAATTTCATGCTCCCAACTTTGTGGCAACAGTTTGGGAATGGCCCCTTACTGTTCCTACCTGACTGCGCACCAGTGCACAAAGCAAGGTCCATAAAGACATGGATGAGCGAGTTTGGGTGGAGGAACTTAACTGGCCTGCACAAAGTCCTAACCTCAACCCAACAGAACACCTTTGGGATGAATTAGAGTGGAAACTGCAAGCCAGATCTTCTCGTCCAACATCAGTGCCTGACTTCACAAATGTGCTTCTGGAAGAATGGTCAAACATTCCCATAGACACACTCTAAATGCTTAGCTGTCAGCAATCCTTCTGTCTCTGCATTTAGGGTGACTCCGGTCCTCAGCACTCCAGTCCTCAGGCTAAAGAGGATCAGTACACACACAGCAGCCAAGATGTGCATTCTGCAGTCACCTCCACTAAGAGGAAGATCTCTCCTTGAAAGCCTGGAGGAAAACTACTCCTTTCCCCTCCTTTTAAGAGTCTATATTTGGGGGCTGTAATCCATCACTCCATTTTCTCCTATACAAGATCCTCTTCCAAGACTACATTTCCCAGCGTTCTGTGCAGCTTGCATCAAAGCCTCTCAAATTCTTCATGCCCACTGGCTCCCTCTGCTGTATGGATGCTGAATGGCATTGAAGACCAGCATAAGAGTCTTATATAGGCACACAAAGCAGCTGCAGCAAAGTGTCTTCATAGTTGCACTCTCTCTCTCTAGCCATAGTACTTTTATTTATACAGATATGTACATCAGATCTAGATGAAAGAGGATCAGTGGGATTTGATTCAAAGGGTGGACTATCCCTCTAATTAGGGAACAATTAGGAACAAAGGAGCCATAATTGTATGGCATTTGGTAAAATAAAAAAAATTACTAGCTATTCATGGTTGGATCACTTTTCTGAAGTATTGGACAGGTGTGAAGGAGACGTTATGTTGTCTCCATGCAATTAGCACAGCAACATGGCATGCAAAAATAATTATGTAAATGTATACTCTGGCATAAATAGATATAAATACTCTAAGTTGAATAACAATGGCCTTAGAAGAAAAAAAGTCCCTTTAACAAGAGATTGCAACTTGAGCCCTGCAATGTTTAAAGTTCCTGATATGGTGGTATCCGCTGTCTTCTGCTAGTAATAAGCATAAACAGATAAGCCTGGGTACTACTTAAAGCAAAGGTCTCCTGGTAACTGAGGTGTAAAGGTGTCTGCATGTAGTGTCTCTAGAGTGATGACAGAAAGAGATTGGGCTTCTGCCCGCTCACCAATCCAATGGATAGCATGGCCTCCTAGAAACAAGAATTCTTACCCAGGCTCTTGGCTGTTTGCAGGGATGTGCAGAGTTACCTCCTGATGGCCTATCAGCACGGTGAGCAGAGATGTCTGTGTGAAGTCCGGACAGTGACAGTCCCTTTGCAGAGAAACTGATGTGATCCTGGCGCGGCAATCGGCATCAGCGTTGTGCTGAACTGATGTATAGAGTCCTGCAACAGTAGGCCTACTAAGCTAACTCTGGAGGAGAAAAGCAGTCCCCCTGTGTTCAGTTCTGAATCTCACGCTAAGAGAGTGAGCCAGTTCCTTGCTGTAGAATATATCTGCCTTCCCAGCATCCTTCTCGTTCTTCAGCTCTCTGGTAGTTGTAGTTCAATCAGCACCCAGGAATACAGGATGTATTGGTTATAGGACTACAGGTCCCAAGATACTTTGCTGTCAGAAAAACTGAATCCACTTTGCTAACAGAAAGCTATGTAGCAGTCCCAGTACTGGGCACTAGGGAGAAAAAAAGGCTTAACCATAGTCTCACCTGTAAGCATCCTTGAATGGCATAATGATATAACTAGTGCCTGGCTACATACTGTATGTGTAGATGCCACAGAATTAAGTAAAAATAAAAGAAAATAAAACTGCTAGATGTCAGTAGGTGCAAAAATCTCCAAAATATGTTCTTCAAAAACTAGTAGATGCCAAGGAGTACATGGTACACCAGACACAAGCCACTGGTTCTATAAACTTGAAAACCAATGAATGCCTATTGTGAAACATCTCGAAAGCAGGACCAACAGGACAGAGAAAACCATCAACGGAATTGTAACCTACAGTGACTGATGCCTGAATCTTTGAAACCCTGTTAGATATTTTGGACAGCACATATGGTGGTTGATATATTGTAAATAAAGTATATTTTTTAGATCATGATGCATACTGTATGTAGTTTTTTTTTTTCTGTGGTGCGCTGTAACATAGTATATTAAGCATTTGTTGTAGTATACATTATACAAGCATTTGCTCTTTCACTAAGCTGGTGTTATGCAGCAACTGAATTCTCTTCTCTTGAGAAAACATTTTTTTCTCAAAGCTCCTCTCTGGTATAATTAAAACCCACCACTCTCAACCTCACCCCCAGCCCCCATCTCCCACCCATTCACTTTTTTTTTTTTAATAACAAAACATGGAAAAAACCTTTTAACTTACTGGAGTCTGAACCAGTCGTGTTGCTTCCCATTTTCATGATGTTATCTAAAGACAGCAGCAATCTTCAGAATCCTGTGAGAACTCCTCCAACCGATCCAATGTGAACTGGCCATATCACCAGGCAACAATAAGGTTTTAATAACACTTAAAGCTGAAATACTGGCACATATTAAAAACAATTATTGCAGTTATGCATTCATTATGAAAACCAGCTCCATACTTCCCTGCTGCCATTTTATCTCTCCATATTATTCTTCCATCCCATCATTTGTTTTCTCCCTCTTTTCAATTCCTAGTATCCATTCCCTCATTTCTTCTCCTCCCCTTTTCCTTGACACTCTGTCTTTCATGTATCCCTTCAGCTCTTTGCCTCAATCTATTTTTTCGTTTTGCCCCTTTTCCTTTTCTTCTACCTTTCTTTTTCTTCCTTCCCTCCTTCCTCTTCTTCACTTCACTCTGTTGTCCCCATTATTTCTCCCCAATCCTCTTTCCACCTTCATGAAGATCTTCTCTTCCCTTCCCTTTCACGTTTTCATTTATTTTTGCCTCTCCTTTTTTCCACATATTATTGACCATTATTTCTTTTATTTCCTTACATACTTTTATACCACTGTTTCATGTATTCATTTTATCTCTCCTTTATTTAGTTCCTTCTCTCCCTTGTTTACTTTTTTTCATCCTATTTTTCTTCTTTCCATGATTTCTCTCTATTTTTTCCATGATACCATTCTCTTTTTACCTCCTTTCCTTCAATTCATTTTTTCTTCTTCCTGTTTTCTCTCTCTCATTCTCTCCCTCTGTTAATTTATTCTCTCTCCCTGCCATCCCCTTCTTTCATTTCTCACATCTTCTTACATTTTTCACTCTGTTTCATCTCACCAACATTTTCTTCCCCTTTTTTTTTCTTGTGCTTTTTTCTGTTTTATTGCTTTTTCTACTCCTTGTTCCTTCCACCCCACCTGGCATTTACCTTCCTCATTTTTGTTCCTCCTTTTATTCCATCACTTTTTATATATTCCTTCCTTGCCTCCCTCTTTCTTGTATTTCTCACTCCCTTTCCCTCTCTTCTCTTCTTTTCTTCCTTCCACTCCTGCCATCTTATCCTTTATTATCTTCCTTTGTTTTGTTATTTCCCTTCTGTTTCCCACCTGTTCTTGCCCCTAAATTTTTCTCACTGGATCTTCCCTTCCCCTTCTTGTTCATCCCATCTTTCATCCATGTATTACCTTTCTTCCTATTGTTCCAATTTTTCCCTAGATTAGCCTAATTTCCTGGGTTTTTTCCACCTTCAGTTCAGCCATTCCTTTATTCCTTTCCTCTCTCAATTCCATTTCAACACTTGTTTTCCATGCTTTTTGCCTTCTCTTCCTTTCCTGTCTCCCTTCCTTTCTCTGCCACATCTATTCTGTATCCTTCCTTCATTTCATCCTTCCCCTTCATACATCTGTTTTCTGTTATCCTTCCCTTATTCAATTTCTTCTTCTCCTTCCTTGCCTCTTTTAACGCCCATCCTTCACATCACTTTCCTTCTTCCCTTTACTGAATTTCCTCGTTTTTGTTTGTACATTTCTCTTCTTTTCTGCCTCCTTTACATTCTTGCTTTATTCCATTCTTTTCTTTCTAATGTCCTTGTCTTCTCTCGCTTACCTTCCTCCACCCATTTCTTTCTCTCTTTCTTTTGTTTTCTATTTCTACCTTAAAAAGTAGAATTTCAGACTAAACTGAACTAGTCTTAAAAATGTTCCCTCCTTCCTAACACTTGTGCTTACTAATCTGTGTAAAAAAAAAGATTAAAGTATAAAGTAAAAGTATATTCTTTCCTATTTTCAACCAGCTCCGCTCCGGTAACATGATCCGGCTCCCATGTCACCCAGTGGTGGCAGCAGGGCCGAGGAAGAAACAACAATGGCTAGGGCACGGGAGCCCATGGATGATGTTACAGCTCCAAGGCATTCCCAGCTGGGAAACAGGAAATTAAGACTAATCTAAAGAAAAGGGGTAACATGGGAAGAAAGGTAATACATGGATGAAAGATGGAATGAATAAATGTAAGATAGGAAGAAGAGGAATGAAAGATCCAACAAGAAAAATGTAGGGGGCAAGAACAGTCGGGAAACAGAAGGAAAAGAACAAAGCAAAAGGAAGATAACGAAGGCTGCGATGGCAGGAGTGGAAGGAAGGATAGAAGAGTGGGAAAGGGAGTGAGAAATAAAAGAAGAGTGAGGCAGGAAAGGAACATGGATAAAGTGATGGAAGGAGGAACAAAAATGAGGACGGTAAAGGTCA